CTCAGACTGCATTGGTTAAGCTTATGGGGCTGTCACGTGATGAACGAACGACTTGAAAAACCCGAAGACTCGAAACAGGTGAACTACTTGATGAATTCCAGTATAGAACCTATAGGATGTTGCGCATGCGCGACTGAACGAATCACTCCCCGAGATGACTCGTTCTTCCAGAGTCACATTAAAGATTTGTTCAAGAACGACCCAACACTAATCGCAGGATGTGCGATGTTTAGTAGGCCTATACTGATCGTTATATTTATACTGATTGTTTTCTTTGCTCACACACAGACACCGTGTCACCGGACGCGAAATCTGTCGTGTCGTGCCGCCCCACGCCGCAATAAAGTCTGTCTACCCTGGCCTTAGTAGGCCTATACTGATCGTTATATTTATACTGATTGTTTTCTTTGCTCACACACAGACACAGTGTCTACACCGGACGCGACAGCTGTACAGAGATACCCATTTGAAATACATTTAGTAGCAGAGCTACTGCACACGATTTTCAGTGCTGGAAATCCATTTATCCTTTGTTGAAACTTCCGCGTCGTCGCGGAGAGCGCAGGTCACGGATGCTTAGCAAACGGCAGACGCCACGAAAGCACAAGCTCCCGAGCACTTTGGAAAGAAGGAGAGAGCGGCGCGGCTCGCGTTCCAATTCAAATAGCCAATATTGTGAATATGGAAACATTTGGATTCGTGCCAAATGAGAGAGTAAGAAAGAGGATTATAGGGCCAAACAATAAAAAAAAAAAAACATCTCCAAAATGAAGTCATTAGCCTATAATGCGAGATTAAACTCATGAAATATCAAGAAAAATGTAGAAATAAAATATTGAGAATAAAAATATTTAAATTTCGAGAATAAAGTCGTTCATCAGCATCGTCAACTTCATCTTTGCAGACACTGACTCAGAAAACAGTTTAGTAATAAGTAGCCTAAATAAGATATGTTCTAGCTATTTATGCGATCCGCTTGAGCGCGGAATAGGCTATAGCCTATAAAATGCTTGTTTAATATAGTTTAGTTGAAGTTAATTTAATAGTTTAATTAAATATAAACGTGCGATTACAAATGGCTTAAATGAGCGACTATAACAGCCCTTTTAATAATAATAATAATAATAATAATAATAATAATAATAATACAAGGAAGGAATAACTGACAACGTGCCGTTGAATTACAGAAAAAAAACCAAGGTACCGTCACAAATTTCTTGTTTGGCAAAATTAATATAATCTATTCTGTCTTAAGACAAGTGAAGTTAGAACAAGTTTAATAAAACATCTTTATTATATTTCTACGGTAGAGGAGAATAGCCAAACCAAAAAGAAACAAAGAAAACACAATGTAACATTCATAAAACCGTACTCAATGGAATGCGCACATGTGACTGGGGCTAGTGCCATCTAGTGGTCGCTGATTTTCTTTAGCTCAGCTGTGCGTGGATCGCAAGCTGTGTGTGTGGCAAGGCTAAAAGGGCGGAACGAAAGTCTCAAAATTCAAATGAATCAAATAGAATAGACTGAGAAGAGACGTGAATGAATACACGCGTGTCACCTGATCCACAAATGCACATTTTAATCGCTACATGCACAAATCATTATACTTTAATACAAACTATACATTTGTATTCACAAATATGTCTCTATTTAAACAAAATGCTGCACATTAATGTAAATCTTAACTCTGCAGACACCGGTTGAAAAGCATTTGTTTCAGTGTAGTGACGCACATTTGCGAATTTTTCAAATCATGTACACGTTAATGAATTGCACTGGGCCTTGTTCGTTGGTGGTTCTGTGTGTGGGGGACGTGAAATGCTGTAAACTGTGAAAATTAAGACTCAAAACATCCCATAATATTGGTTCACAGCAGTTTAATGTTCCTGTTGCTTTCTCTGTCATGAACGTTAATCAAACAACAAAACACAAAGAAAACTCACTTTTGTAGCTTTAACACAGATTTGTTAGATTTAATTTATAGTGAAAACTATGCAGTGCTATTTTACATTTGATTATTCAATTTCTGTACCTGAATACTGTTAGACTTACCTGAAAAATATAAAGCACTGCTTATTTCATTTGTATCTTTGTTCTGTTATTTATCTATGCTTGTAATTTGTTTATTTCCTATTCTGATTTACTCGCCTACAAAATCACCCCAATCATTGATTATTTTTTTCCAAATAGAGCTATTGAAGTCATCTGATTTTTTTTTCATATCGCAATATACATACGGCAGAAAAAAAATATCGCAATGTGAGTTTTTTCCAATATCGTGCAGCCCTAATATATATATGAATGTCTGTGGTTGACGGCATGAGTGTGTTTACTGTGAACTATCATGTAGAGATCCTTGTATACAGCTCATGTGATGTATCGCCGCAAGCTTTAAAAGCAACTGAGAATACAGTATGCTCACATTCTCAGTAAATATCTGCAACACAAAGAAAGCCAGTCATCTCCAATGAGAAGAACATCACTCACAGGGTTAGGTTGCATAAGCAAATACCTCAGGCTATAGCTGGTCTAAAAAAAAAACATGTTTTAACCGCAAGCTTCGGTTTTAGTCTGTATCAATTCTATAATTTGTATGTCCAGCAATTATAACTTATATATGACTCTTTCTTTCGACTGACCACTGCTTATTCCAAAAAAATATTGGTGCAGATTAGTTAATGGTGCAAATATGCAAGTCAAAGAGGCAAAAATTAATGTGAATGTATACATTTGGAAAACTTTAATGACCATTAAATGTCTGAATAAAAAAAAAAAACATTAGGGCTGAACAGCTAAAATCAAAATAAAACAATTTTATTAAAATATATATAATTATAATGTAACAAAGTTAAATTATTATTATTATTACAGAGGTACTTATAATACATTTTACTATTAATACTAATAAACAGCATATGCACAATTATATTTATTTACAAAATAATAATAATAATCCCATTGATTGGGTCTACACATCCTTTTTCAATGTTTGTCTGAATATCCAAGCAACAATACAGGATTTTAAACTTCACAATATATAACAAAATAATCATGCAGCCCTAAAGGACACAAATAATACCTACTGTTAACATCAATCAGAAACTTCAGAAGCTAAAAGGGCCGCATTCAAATCACAACAAATGCAAATGGCCACAAAATAGGGTCATTTTCTTTTTAAATGCAGCCACATCATTCAGCATCACTGGCATAATCTGAGCGAATTCAATTGACATGTCATTTCAGCAATGCTGCGTCGTGCGTGAAAATGTCATCTTTTAGGGGTGTCAGTAAATTACGTTGTAAACTGTACGCACAGTAGGATGTGGTTTCATAAATCGACCAAGAACTCAGTGAAGGTTTATGCAAAGGTACACAAGCTCAAAGACTTAACACGTATCTGACGTATGTGTCCACTTTCCCTGTCGTTTGCCATCATCAACTAAGGTCCAAAATACTATGTCAGCCAAATTCACTGTATTGTTAACTTTCACTCGGCCAGTTAAATGATATCACATTAGACACTAAATTAAAAGCACACAGCCTAATTTGTAAGCAACGACTGGTGGCTAATTGCAGGCTAATAGGCCAAATACGATCTACTGACTAAGGTTCTCTTTCTAACATCCGTTCGGTATCTCACTATGGGAACGCATCAGGCGTGAC